GGTGGGTGACTGGGGCGGGTATGGCGAACGCATGCGCCGCCACTTTGACCTGAGCTACACAGACGCCGATGGCCATTCGCACATTCACGGCGCCAACTTTGGTGTCAGTGCCAGCGCTTATACCAGCGCGGGTGGCTTTCTGGCGCTTGAAACCGGCGAGGATGTGGCGCTTGTCAAATCACTCATCAGCAGCGGTGCCAGGATTGCATGGTCTCGCCAGCCACGGGTAGTGACCAGCGTGCGACCCAATTACAAGGCACCGCTCGGTTTCGGGGCAACCCTCGAAAGAATTGAAAAGCTGGGGCTGTGGCTGGGCGGCGAGACGGGGGCAGTTGCATGAGTGATGACATTTCCGAAAGGATGACGTCGCTCTTTGCGGGTGATCCACCCGCTGGCAGCGCAGCATGGATGCCGCTATTGCTTGAGCACGGGCTGGACCAGCTCCCCCTGCCCGGCCACGGAGGCACGCGTGAGCGATGGCGCGCGCTGGCGACGGTGGGCGCGTTTGACCTGTCACTCACCAAACTCTATGAGGGCCACACCGATGCGCTGGCCATCATGGCTGAACTCCAGTCGCAGTCACAAGAAACTCGCGCAGGCGTGTGGTGTGTGTGGGCCGCAGAGGCACCCGGTGGCCGCGTGATTGCACAACCCGGTGATGACGGCAGTGTCACGCTCAGCGGCAGCAAGTTCTGGTGCTCGGGCGCGACCTGTGCAGACCACGCACTGCTCACCGCCTGGGGGGAAAACGGCAGCGGCCCACACCTGGTTGCGGTAGACCTGCACCAGAGTGGCATCACGGTGGATGCCAGCCACTGGAAGGCCGTGGGCATGGCGGGAAGCCTGAGCGTCAATGTGAGCTTTGAAAATGCACAGGCAAAGCGCATAGGCAGCGACAAGGACTACCTGACCCGGCCAGGCTTCTGGCAGGGCGGCGCCGGCATTGCCGCCTGCTGGTATGGCGGGGCTGTAGGTCTTGCGACGGCACTGCGGCAGTCCATGCTTAAAAGCATTTCCAACCATGCGTCCAGAGAAATTGCCATGGGAAAGGTGGAACTTGCGCTCGCTGAAACCGCCTCCCTTTTGAGGCATGCCGCGTGGTGGATAGATACCCACCCGACAGCAGATGCCAGCAAGGTCGCGCTGGCCGCAAGGCTGTCCGCTGAGCGGTGTGCAAAAACTGTGCTCGACGAGGTGGGGCGTGCCATGGGTGCCACGCCCTTCTGCCTGGATGAAAAATTCGCACGGGCAGCAGCCGACCTCCCCGTGTTCATACGCCAGAGCCACGGTGACCGGGATTTCGCTGCCCTTGGCGAACGGTCCCTGAAGCAGGGGGCCAGCGCATGGCAGATCTGACGGGCCGTGAAATTCGCGATGCAGGAACGCCAGATTCAGAGTGGCTGCCCTGGCTTGCCGCCCAAAACATCAGGCAGATATCTTTGGCAGACCTGGCTGCAGACGCCCAGAGGCTGGTGGTGCTTGCACCACACCCCGATGACGAGATCCTCGCTTGTGGCGGCCTGCTCGCGGGCTGGACATTGCAGGGTCATGCCGCCAAAGTGATCGCGGTCACCGATGGCGAAGCCAGCCACGGTACCGCCGATATCAAGGCGTGTGCACGAATGGCCGCATGCCGGGCAGAAGAAAGCCAGGCGGGCCTGCGCACCCTGGGTATTGAGTCACCATGCATCACCCGTCTTGGTATCACCGACGGCAAGGTAGGCGACCAACTGGACGGCCTGGCGCAAAAGCTTCAGGCCATGCTGCGGTCAACGGACCTCGTGGTCACCACCTGGCATCTTGATGGTCACCCTGACCACGAGGCTACGGGGCTTGCTGCAGCCCACGCCTGCGCCGCCACGGGCGCGCGACTGCTACAGGCACCGGTGTGGATGTGGCACTGGAGCCAGCCGGGTGACACGCGTGTGCCATGGTCGGCGCTCCGTGCGCTGCGCCTTGGTGATGTCGCCACGCAGATGAAATGCAAGGCCCTGCAGCGCCATCAAAGCCAGCTCATCGGAAGGGGCGACGACCAGGATGCGGTGCTGGTGCCCAGCATCGTCGAACGCGCCTCTCGCCGCCACGAATTTTTCTTTCTCTAAACGCCTTCAAGGCTCTTACGTTTTCCAGATGCCACAGACCACGCAGCCCAACCCGGAATCGCAACCCGGCCAGCCGGCCTACTTTGAGGCCATGTTTAAAAAGAGCGATGACCCCTGGGGTTTTCAGACACGCTGGTACGAAAAACGCAAACGCGCCCTCACGCTGGCCTGCCTGCCCGCAGACCGGTACGCGCACGGTTTTGAGCCAGGCTGTGCCAACGGTGAGCTTGCTGCCAGGCTGGCCACGCGTTGCGACAAGCTGCTGGCAAGCGACGGCATTGACAAAGCAGTTGCGCTATCACGCGCAAGGCTGAAAGACCACGCCCATGTTGAAGTACGCAAGGCATGGGTGCCACGTGACTGGCCCAAAGACCGGTTTGACCTGATCGTGCTCAGCGAATTCCTGTTTTACCTGCAGCCTGAGGTGGTCGAAGAAATTGCGTGCAAGGCGCAGGAAACCCTGCTGCCGGGCGGTGTGATTCTGGCCTGCCACTGGCGCCACCCCATCGAGCACTGCACCATCACGGGCGACGACGCACATGACG